GTGTTAGCGTGGTTACGTTCGCCACCACATGAATGGAAAACATTTGTTTCTAATCGCACTAGCGAGATTCTTTCACGCGTTCCCGTTAACTGCTGGCGACATGTACCGTCGACCGATAACCCTGCTGATGCTGCGTCTCGTGGTATGCTACCTGGCGTATTTATAGAACATGATTTGTGGTTCCAAGGTCCAAGTTGGCTCCGACAGGACGAAGCTTGCTGGCCGGAATCAAAGTCTTACTATACAACGGAAGAGGAAAAGCGTCTCAATATTAATTTGATTAACACTAATTTAACTACACTGGATCCCTTACCGGATGTAGAGATAATTTTCTCGATTTTCTACGTTAGGAAAACTTGTTCGCGTTACTGCAATAATATTTAGATTTTATTTCAAATGTAAAAAACACATTAAATCTTGCCCTAATTATATAACTGTGCCGGAATATAATTTTTCCTTAAAAAAACTTATTTATTTAGTGCAACATAGTGTGTTCAGTAATGACATTGAAAACATTTCAAAGGGTAAATTGCCTTCAAATCAATTACGTCGTTTAAACGCCATTTCCTGGATGAAAATCAATTTTTACGTGTGGGAGGCAGAATTCATAAGTCTCTTTTACCATTTGAATCAAAGCATCAATTAATTTTACCGAAAAAACATACTTTAACCAATCTCATTATTGACGATGCGCATATAAAGTATTTACATGCCGGCCCACAAACAGTCCAATACTTATTATTACAACGTTTTTGGATACTTTCTTGTCGCGATATCGTGCGCCAGCGCATACATCGCTGTGTTATTTGTTTTCGCTCTCGTCCTAAGTCTAATCAGCCACGTATGGCACCGTTACCTGTTACTCGTTTACGTCCCTCGCGACCCTTTATTAAGACCGCCGTAGATTACGCGGGTCCTTTTTACGTACGTGCAAATAAGGTGCGCAATGCTAAAGTTGTGAAATGTTACGTTGCAGTTTTTGTATGTATGAGCGTTAAGGCCATACATTTAGAGCTTGTGTCCGAGCTTTCCACGGAAGCTTTTCTCGCGGCTTTGCGGCGTTTCACATCCCGTCGAGGTTTATGTACTGATATTTTTTCGGACTGTGGGAAGAACTTTGTCGGATGTAATAATTATTTAAGGGATTTGTTCGCGTTCTTAAACAGCGACTCTGTACAGGCTAATTTAAATCGAGAGACACTTAAACAAGGCCTAACGTGGCACTTTCAGCCACCATACGCAAGTCATTTCGGTGGGCTATTCGAGGCGGGTGTCAAAAGTTTTAAGCATCATCTACATCGTGTTATTGGCACTCGTACTCAAACATATGACGAGATGCATACCCTCCTATGTCAAATAGAGGCTATACTGAACTCGCGTCCACTCTGTGCAATCAGTGCTTCGCCTGATCCGCTTCCTTTAACTCCATCACACTTTCTGATAGGAGAACCTTTGATTGCTTTGCCTGATGTTTCTTTGGTGGACGAGAATACTAATCGACTTACGCGTTGGCGCTGGGTACAGCAGTCCGTTCAGCATTTTTGGAAGAGATGGAGTAGAGAGTATCTTCATGAGATTCAGCAAAGTCAAAAATGGTTTGAGACTCGCGGGTCTTCTATTCGTGAGGGTACTATTGTGGTAGTTTGCGATGATCACCTGCCACCATTACAATGGAAACTAGCACGTGTCCATGCTCTACATCCAGGTTCGGATAATGTTACTCGTGTGGTGACTTTACAAAGGGGCAATACATTTTACAAGCGACCTGTTGTAAAGGTGTGTCCACTCCCTATCGAATAAACAATTAATCGTTGCATATCGAATCTTAGTTCTAAGTTTTTTATTTATATTTTATTTTGTTCTAAATTTAATATTCAATTTGTTCATTTAATGTTAAAGGCACGTTCCTTTAAGGTGAGCGGCATGTTCCGTAACGAAACAGATCATTGATAATTGGCTATACAAAGACAACACAACTGTGGGTAAAATTTTTATTGTCTATGGGCAAGGCGATTAGCTGTCTTCGTTCCAAATCCCCACCCTTAATCCTTGGGTGACGGTTTACTACTGTGATTTCAAATTGTTAACTGCGCGCACCTAATTTTGATTGAGCTTGGTGAATTGTTCGTTATCGAGAATAAGGACATTTCGGAAGAACGGTGGATCAGTGCCTATGGACTATATATCGTGTATGATATATTCGCTGGTAACCGCGTCGACGCACCCCGTTCCAGAACCCAGCCCTCGGAACCCGTGGCGGTAAAGGATCGCTTGCGGTGAGTCGCCAACCCCTGCTTAATATCGTACAGAGCGCACTTATGTTATATAAATTTATTATATTTTGAGTCAGTAACAGACGAACTCCGATCAAAAGCCGACGGTTTTATACTAAGAAATAACCTCTAAAACAAGTTATTGTAATTGGAAAATTATATCTTATGGTTCACAAAAAAAATATGTATAATTTTTCTTGATAAAATAATCACCTATACACCATAGTAGTTGTTAATTTTATCAATTTCCTGTTATAATTATTAATTAGTAACCGAAAGAAATACAATATTTTTACAATATTCGTAATAGTTTGCAAGCAATTTAAAATACTTGCCATCTTTTGTGTTAATCTAAGATAGATTGTCGGGAACAAATATATAAAAAGGGATAGGGATTTCAACTATATTCGCGATTCGCTGAACGATTTTGGTCACACTTAACAGTTCTGTTTTTATTAGCCGCGTACAGCGTTATAAGATTCTGATAAACCGTCATAAACAGTAACAGAATGTTATCACCGTTGAAGCACTTCTGTCTTCTTCGTACTGCACTGGACGCAATAAACAATGCATAACTACCTAGTTGAACTATGCAAGTTGCAACCTGTCTACGAAGTATTGAGAACTATCCGTATAAGTACAGAGCTGAACGATGCAGAATAGCAGTGAACGCGACGACACAGCACTGAAATCTTTAACATTTGTGTGATAAAAACACATTTGTCCTCAATTTATACCTGTTTGCCGCTAAAGCTGAAAAAACGCGGAAAGCTGAATTAATGATTACGCATCTCCATACAAAATCTTTGTTTTCCATAGAGAGAAGCTGAATAGAGGTGAATAAATGTATCTAATTAGTCCCATGGTCATCACCTTTGAGAAGCAGTATTTGATTCCCGTATATGATTTGATTTTATACATTATCAGGTATATAACTAAAAATACTTTTTAAACGAAATAGATATGTTATGGCTAACTATAACCATATTAAGGGAATATTTAAGTCTAGCGCAGGGAGAAGATACTCAAATCTCATTATCATCCATACATTAAAATGTTTTAAATATTCAACCGGCACTGATAAAAAGACATCGCTGAGTTACCATATCAGTTGACATGTTAACGTTTTAGTTCGTGACGTATCATTAACTTTTCAGATAATTATTAAATGATAACAAAATCTCTGCTTTATTTTAACACTAGGTTTTAAGGGTAGCTTAGCGGCTTCGCTGATGCGACTTACGTGATGGCTTCTGTCAAGCCATCATATAATCTTTCCCACATTATAATATATACCCCACTAAACGAACGGATCCCTAAGAAACCGTTTGTTTAGTGAAATGAGCTAATGACAAACTTTCTATCTTGCCGTGGACCACCCACTTATATGCACTTAATATACAGTAAAGATATTTAACACAAAGAGTTTTTCTATCTAAAAATACAGAAATTTATTCAATGGTCACATAATTTTAAATCTTTTGTGAAAATAATTGCGTAACACTGATTCTATGCAGATTTTTGCAATTGCATACTCTTTACTAGTTATGTCTCTACTTTTTTCCTAGTGACATCACGAACCACTGGGATGCTTCCGGAGACCAGTGCCATAAAATAGCAAGCCAGACATAGAATTATAAGTTTACCAAATTTGCGCGAAGGAGTAACAATTTAACATACAAACTTTATATTTTATAATATTAACAATTACTTACAATTATGCATTAAGCACTTACATTACGCACAAAGAAATAACGTCCATTTAATTTCTAAAACAACACATAGTTTTTCTTATGATATTTTGTCACAAAACGAGAATTGTTATTAAAGAGAATAATAATTTCACGATTGAAAAAAATTACAAAGTTACCCCTAGAGTTCCACAAAAAATATAATTATTTCTCATTTATATTCGTAATTAAGTTGATTTGTACCGAATATTTATAAATAGCATAAACTTAGTCACTTTGTAATCGAAGCTTTACGGAGAACTTTTACATTCATAATAACGGTTAACTAATTACTCATAATTAATAAAAAAATAAAAAAAAATTAAAAACGCAATGCTCTATCCTATAACTCTATCACCATTTACGAGCGCGTTGATTTCGTCTTATACATACTTTTGTTTGGGCTGTCGTGTAAAATTTTTTACTTTCATTGCCAAAATTAAAAGGAAAATGATAATCATATTTTAGTTTAGGGATAAATTATATGATGCCCCAGTATGGCATCACAAATTTTAAACAGCATCTTATAATTACAGAGCCTAATCAGTAAATAAAGTGATAAACCATGTAAGTACCTATCTAATCTTAGAACTTCTACACATCGTACTTTGTTTGCTTAAGCACGTTTGTTAATAACCACATGTCTGATATTGTTATAAACACTTACCCAAATTTTCTACTAAAATAGAATATATGACGTAAGTGTTCTACAATTTAACGTTAGTTCGTGCTATTCAGATTCAGATTTTACTTACTATAACAGTATTACAAATTTAAAGAAAGTAAAAATTTTAACGAATTAAAATCTATTCAACTTCAATAAAACTTTTATTATACGATTTGTTATAATTTTGTTCGCATTGCTTTTTTCGATTTTGTTTAAAGTTAATTATTGAAACCCGCTTTAGCATAACTTTTGAATTAGTTCGCTAGGCTAATTAGTATAAATACATATATTACAAATAAGTAAGAACAATATATAGCTTGAAATACTTACAGCGTATGGATATCTGTATTCAAGATGGGCACGGAGACCAGGCCTTGCTGGATACACCGGACATTAATATGAGTGCAGTTGCATTTCGGCGGGCAATTGAAGGATACAGCAGAAGTAAGGAAATTAAGTAGAAGAAATAGTATTAAGCGCTTTGACCCCATGTTTGATTGGGGTCGCGCCATGGTAGGTGGTAATGGTTAGGTCGCGTTGGGAGCGCGAGCGCCGCACGACTGCGCCAGGCGAGTGATGCCAACTGCAAGCCGGCGCGCGAGCGAGTGACGACAGCAACGCGAGCAATGATAACGCACGGTCCGCCGCCGCCAGCCTCCTCCGCCACCGACCTCTGAATCCCACTCGAGCCGGGAACAAGTGTTACCAACATAACACTTTTTGTATTAAGTCTGGTACTGATGAAAGTTCATAAGGCTAGCACTGAAATCTATCTAACGTTAAATAGTGATTTTTGTAATTTAATTTCTGGCTGCACATCAAAAATAAACAAAACGCGGATTGTTGTGGCAGTAGACATTTATTTTAGATTGTTCTTAAAAAAAGTTGACAAATCGAAACCATAGTGTGTTCTAGCTTTTGATAGTGTAGCGTTGTTGCAAATATAAATATTAAATAATATACAAACACAAATTAAACATGGCTGACCGTAACAAAAACATACCTAGTATTAAATTGTATTCTTTAATTTGCTATCTTGTAGAGGATTTCCTTTGAATTTTTTGTCTAGTGTATTTTTATTTTGTTCTGTGAAGACTATTATCATGTAATTAAGACAGTTCTAGTCCTAAACCAGCATTTAAGACTAGAACTGTCTTCTAAATTTTTATGAATTATCTAGTTGTTTTCCCGCGATTTCGCACGTGTATGTTATTATAGTCTATGTCAACCCCGTATGATGTATATACCCGTAGATGAAAGAAATTTTTAAATCGGTCCCAGCAGATTAGATCCAAACACATAAAGCGAGGTCATTACAAATTATGGCAAGGCCATTCTGCGCTATTGAATAAGTCAAAATTATTAATATATTTTTGTTACTGAGATCGAGACCACCAAAATTTACTATTTTACGCCTAAACACCGTGACATATCATATGGCTCTTAACAATAGTAGTATAGATTTGTACCTATAAGAATATACCGAAAGTGAAAATGAATGGGTCTACTTTTGTTCAAAATATAAAATTGTTTGCAATTATCTCTAACAATTCACAAATTTTTCAATCACTTCACATACACTTGTTGGCAATACTGCCCGGAATATGATGCACGTATCACGCACTGTCACCTCTAGTACTGTCCATCAACAAAAATGTACAAAAATCTGCAACAAAACACTTCCACGCTGACTGCGAATGAAAGTTGATTAAATGAATTCATTTTTCATTCAAGCTTTCGTAAATTAATTAACGTTTCAATGCGGATGGTAGGAATGCACAAACGTTTTTTTTTTCACTTATTTAAGCTAATAAGAAATTGCAGATTCCATTGAAATACTACTACTTTTTATTTTTTAACGGGAAATTTTGTCAGCAGGTCCAGCAAATCGGTGATCTGTTTGCGGGTTCATCCTGGCTTATTGCGAACGTTATTTTTTTTTACTATTATAGAGAATAATTTGGAAATTAATTTAAATAATCCATTAATTAGGGATAATATTACATATTTGTATACTCTCCTTTATATTTCATTCATTTACAATGTTTATATACGTAGAGAAAAATGAAACTAGTTACGTGAAAATTTTGAAGTGAAATAGTTTATTTATTTACTTATTTTACGGAACCCTTTGTGGATATAGTGAAAAGACAACCAAAGCAAATCAATAATATTTTTTGAATACTTAATTACCTAATTAGTAAATATAATCAATCAAACTGTAATAAAGAAGAGAAGACTGCATAAATTGTAAATGAAAACAACGGACATTGACAACGTAAACCACTTTATGTTGAATAAAAAGAAAATGTTACAAAGTATCTAATACAAACTGACCTATAAAATTCAATTTCTTCATGGAATTATATGAGTCTTAAAGTGAACATCGATGACCGGTGTACGAACCAGTTAGTTTTATTTTACAATTCTCTCGAGCTCTTCTCCTAACTATACTCTTTTGAGGGTTCCTACCTAAAAAGGAAATGCGGAATCCTTAAATATCACGTTGGTCACCGTCTATAAAGGAGTGATCGTAGAGATTATCGAGATGTAATTTTAACGATATAAGTATCTACTCAGTCACGTCAAACTGTGAAATATAAAAGTTCTAAATTAACGTAAAAAGACACCCATCGTCTATGCCGGAAAAAACCCTTAAGTATTTCGAAAGTCTCAAGGGAAATAAAATTGATAATATATTTTCCGTTGACCTACAACCTTAAATTTGGAAACTATCATCGTTTTATAGAACTAGTTTAAATAAAAAACATGGTAACTATAAATTTGTAAATTTGATCTAAATTAATTAATTATATAAGGGTTTGTAATATAAGTTGGAGCTACTAGTGAAGTATAATATAAAAGGGCTTGATGTGCATATTTCAAAACATGTTGCAAAAAATATTATTTTTTCGGTTTTGCATATATATTTACTTAAAATATTTATGGAGAGTAAATACTCTGCACGCGAATCCCAATACTCTTGGCAAGTAATCATTCATTGTATTTTTGATTTATTCTCAATTTACCAACAGTCAAAATGAGCATATTCTAAACCCTATTGGTAAATCGTCTTTTAATATAAAATTCTTACATTTACCAACACACGTTGGTTAATCTTTTACAGTAACATATACACAACTGCGGATGTGTATTTAACACGCTCTTATGAATTTTAGATACATATTATTCACGGCAATTGTAGAAATCCCTGTATTTAGTAGTTTTGATATTAAAGAAACCGTGACCCATAAGAATCACTCCAAAAATCAAAAAATAAGAAGTACTCGTATAAAACTAAATCCTCTTTGCATTAGGCGAGCTTTCTATAGACTGCAATGAGAAATTATGTTTATCCTAGCATAATTTTATTTTAAAGATTTTATGATTTCTGTATTATGTTTATGCTTTTTCGAGTTATGCTTGGAACGAGGATTTTCTTTCTAATACATAAAAACTTTATTTTAAATGATATTGTTAAAAGAGGCTATAGATAAAAATATCTTTAATTAAATAGGCCCATTCGTTTACAAGCTATGATACTGTAAGTACAAAGAATTGTATTCGTACTAACTCGTCTCGATTTGTAGCTATTACTGCTAGTGCCACACATATCCAATAAAATTACTATTAGTTTTAAGCGACATTACCGATACAATTTTCCAAATTTAAAACTTTCATTGATTGGAGCTTAAAACCGTCATTAAACTTTTGTGCATCTGACGATACAACTGCTTTTCTGATTTTCATAAAACATACACGCTAAGAACTACCCTGATGAACAAGGCTTTTGATTAAAGAAACGCACTCGAGTGAGTTCATTCTTTCAGGATATATGGTAACACAGACAGACATATCTGTTTTTGCATCTGGGCTTAAGAACTGAAGGTGCTCAAGCGTGTGAATGTGCAAAACTAATAAACAACTCGTCATTTGTTAATATACGCCCTCGTAAGATAATCTAGTTGTAGCTATTGCCTTAAATCACCTTAACCTTAAAATAGGAAAGTTTGATTACTTCTTTGTTTGCATTGGGATAGGCTCCAATTTGGACCGATAATCTACGGGAAGCTGTAGGCGAAATCGCAGGAAAACAACTAGTTTGATAGAAATTGTCTCACAATTAAAGAATAAATCGATGAACATACCTACTTACATAAAAAATATACATATCCATTGAACGTAGATCCTTTGGGATTTTAAATGAATGCAAAATACGCAATCTTTGGTTTTTTAGCTGATATAAACATTAATATCTAAATGTATAGGTGATATTATATGAATAGCATATTTTGTGTTTTTCTTTTTTATAAAAGGATAACTACTGATTCGTTTTCGATAAAACGTGAATAGGACTACTTCGGCCCTATAAGTTGTCGAATTATTTAATAATCTTGAAAATCGGTCTACAAATCAAGGAATAATCGGCTTTATACATTTTCCCGAAACGTAAAACAGGGTAATGAAATCAGTCCTACATATACATTCATATGAAAGCGATATGCGTGAATTATAGGCGCGGCGCGGGTTATATACAATTACGACTTAATTTAAATTCGGTCAAGGCATGCTTTATAGCACCCACCAATACCGATATACTCGTATAGTTGTGGTTTCAAGGAAATTCGGAATTCTACACTGTAAAAAAATTATACAATCAACGTATTGTTTGAAAAAAAAACAATTAAGAAAATATATGGTATTTTAGAATTTAATTAGAAACAAATTATGTTTTACTAAAAAAATAATAATTTGGAAAAAACTGCAGCTCCCTTTCCTTAATTTTTCGGTATTTGTCGCTGTTTTTAAGTTTGCATCTTTTGCTGTGATGAATCAACTCTTATATATAACTGGGCACAGAAGAATTGTTGTTGTGCGTTTGGAATGCTTAATAAAGATGGTATTAACCTGTGGTATTTACTGATATTGCACTTTATAAAAGAGATGGGACATCTGATAAGGTAATCTACAAAAACGGCTTCCTTGGCCGAGTCTTTGTACGCGAGAAAATATCTAGCAAAGACGGATCCGTTTAAGTTGGTTGAAAGGCTTTAATTAAATCTCTAAGAAAGTTTATTTTCCCGATGTAATTTGTGAAATGGATCCGCAAAACTCGTATGCAGTCGGTAACTTGGAGCGAAACTGTTCGGAAGCCTCGCTCGGAAAGTCACACACTAAACAATATAGTTCGGCCTGGCGTTTGGACAGTCTGGCAATGGAAAAATGTACTAGTTACAGATAATACGGAAATAAATCTGATAAATTTCAATGGCAAAGAATACTGTTACGAAGCGCAACGGCGATGTTTCATCTACATGTTACTAGATTTCATTACTTGTCATTTGAATCGCGCTAACAACGTCGAAACTCCGTGTGCTATGTATGTATTCAGGGGTGGAGTTGAGGCTCATCTAGACGTGATATGGGCACTATATACGGTGGGTTAGCCGTCCCGGCATTTCTTTTCTTTACACGGATTTTTCGTCTACGAAACTTAGCCGTTCATAGAACTTGATCGTCTAGTCTAGTCGATTAACTAGTTAATTTTTACTTTTAACTGAA